AGTCTGGGGAGAAAATATCTTTTGCAATCACCACATTCCTGGCCTACTCGATTTATCTGTCGGCCATTGGATCCTCTCTCCCTGCTAAAGACAACGTACACATGGTGGTATACATTGAAATACTGATGGTCCTTAGTGTTATTATGATGGTATTGGTCATTGTTCAAACGAGACTCTACTTTTATTATGGTGAACATCATCTGCCTTGTTTTGTTGGAAACACAATTTCAGAGAAAATCGTGAGAACAAATAAAGGTGACGTTAAACACACGCCTTCTTTAGAAACTTCAAAACCATTGAAAAGAAGAACATGGGCAAACAGTATGATAATTATCGATAAGGTTCTTTTCATCTCTTTTTCCTGTGTTTTAGGGTCAGTCAGTATCTATTATTTCGATTTGATGATGGCCAAGTCTTAAAAATAAAATCATGCGGGAGGACTTTTTGTCCTTTGAATCCTAAAAGTTTAATGTTGCTCTTGAAAAAAAAAGATTTTATAGTGTTTTGGAATGTTCAAACGTCGACACAGTGCTAACTACCTCTTTCGATCGTTTATCTGATTTGTTTTGTTTGTTTGCCGCTTTAAGTCCCTCTCGAGAAATTTTCATTCACATGGAAACAAGTGAAATAACAGCTGAAACAAAAGAGATTTAAAAAAAATAAATTCTACACAAAACAGAAAATATCACTCTGACACTTATTTGTTTTAAACCAGTAACTAACACAAGTGATGAGTTCAAGTCCTGCATTGTTATTTTTTTAATTTCAATGCAATATAGTATTGCTATGTTAATGTCTCCAACAAAAATTACTTTGATGCTGGAAGGGTGTCAACAACTTCATTCAATTAAAATAAACCTTTCGCATATTAAATATTTTATGTAAACTGAGTGTAAATCTGTATATTCCATACAATTTTAGGCATTGACTACGTAATGAATTTGAAGGATATACGGAGAGAAGCTAAAATTATATGTGGTAGTACACAGCCACTTTAGATGCCAATACTTAATAAATATATACTGTTAGTTATCAATCCTAAAATGTTTTTAATTGTGAATTCAATATGTATGATATTCAATATAATTTTCAAATGTTTATCATATCAAATTTTAATTTTTATGTTGTGATAGTAAAATACTGCTCTTCTTATTCTCTTGGTTTTACTTTCTTCATATCAGCACAGATAGACTGGCATTATTAGGTGGGGACTAGCACCTCTCAAGCTGACCCCTCTCTCAAATAAAATTCTGGGAATTATCGGGACAGGGGCTATCAAGGGAGTCACGACAATTAAATGATTAAAAAATTAAGCTAAAAAAGAGAATTAGACTTGAAGGATATTCTGTGAAGACGACACCCAATCCATAGTTACAGTATACATGTACATACTTTTTATAGATCAAGTGCAATAAACATTATGCAAGTTATTGGGTTTTTCGCCAATACAGTGTACAAGTTGTAAAAAGTTCATCAAAGAGATCCGGCTCGTCATATCCCCATTAATAAAATTAAGTACTTGTTTGAGATATAACAAAAACAGACCAGGGTATTCATTTGTTGGGAAAGGTAGAGACGCGTTTCCCCCATTATACAGCATCATTTCTTTGCATTTATCTATTTACAGACAAATCGAAACCTTTTAAACCTCCATTTGCCTAGTTGCAAAGGCAAACACTGTTTATTGTTTTACAATTGACAACACTTGCATCAGTTTTATCATTCATTTACAATTACAAAATCTATATCATTGCTTTAAAAAGTCTGCAGTTAACATAAAAATTAGTTTATGCATTCTATCGATCAGAAAAAAGTAGAAAATATTTTATTTCTTTTTTAAACTCTAAGGATGCAGTTTGGGGGAAATCTTTTCTTTTTGTTGATGTTAACCTTCTTGGTTAGAGAATGTTACGGAGGAGATAACGTGACTGCAGAAAATGTAACATCTTTCCGGAAGTCTTTACTGCGGGACTACGACCCTTATTTACGACCCCGAAAAAATCAGGGTGATCCAGTCGTCATTAACGCTTCGTTTTTCGTCCATCGCTTTAATGATGTCGATGAAAAGGAAGAAAGTGTTTCTTTGCTCGGGTACTTCAGCATTTCTTGGAATGATGAATTCCTAGTCTGGAACAAACAAGAGCATTCTAATATAAGTAGCATAGACTTAAAAACAATGGACATATGGTGGCCCACAATAGCTTTAGGTAATCCTGTCGGAGATTTTGAGACTTTCCAGAATCCTTTCAAGATGTTTCACGTCTCATCTTCTGGTGATGTTAAATGGTTTCCTGGCGGTTTATATTCTGTTAGGTGTGAGTTGAATCTTAAAAAGTACCCTTTTGATGAACAAACATGTGATTTCATGTTCGTGATAATCGGATACGATGATAATGATGTAATAATCAATGCTGAACCTAGTGTTCTCCATATGTCTGGAACAACCGAGTGGGACATTTCAGCCAGTAAAGTTTACAGGGTATCGAACGGAATGAGTGGACTAACTGCTAGGTTTAGTCTGCAAAGAAAGCCATTTTTTGTGGTTCTGACGGTGTTGTTGCCACTCTCTTTGCTGTCTGTTATGAATTTGTTTGTCTTTCTCATTCCTGTGGAATCTGGTGAGAAAATATCTTTTGCAATCACAACATTTCTGGCCTACTCGATTTATCTGTCGGCCATTGGATCCTCTCTCCCTGCCAAAGACAACGTACACATGGTGGTATACATAGAAATACTGATGGTTCTTAGTGTTATTATGATGGTATTAGTCATTATTCAAACCAGACTCTTCTTTTATTATGGCGAACACCAACTTCCATGTTTTATCGGAAACCCTGTGAGTGACAAAATTATGGACGGAGCCAATACAGATGACAAAAACAAAATGTTCCCAACGAGAACATCAAAAGAGTTGAAAGGCAGAACATGGTCAAACAGTATGGCGATCATTGATAAAGTTCTCTTCGTCTCTTTTGTTTGTATTTTAGGATCAGTTAGCATCTATTATTTTGATTTGATGATTCTCAAATCTTAAAATATGCATTGTTTAAATGCTTTATATTTATGATTGAAATTCAAAAAAAAAATTTGTGTCTTTGTTTTTGCAGAAACTTTCAAACAAAAGAAGAATGGCACATTAATACGTAACAATTTCTACTTTTCTTAAGTCAAGTAAAATATTGAAGTATGAAACAGATGTCTCAGACTCTGTGGTTTCTCTTATTTCAAGCTCACCAGGATATTTCGTATCGACGTAGGAATTGAAATTATCATTATTAATTGACATACGTCGTCGATATATCTAAATGTCAAGTTGAAAGCCACAGCAAGTGTTTTCTTTTCAGGCATAAGATTTTGCATAAAATCTGCTTCATATGAGTTCAAAAATAGGTCTGCTAATAACGGAGCGCAATTGGTACCCATAGGAATTCCAACAGATTGTTGGAAGACCTGGTCTGCAAAAATCACATTGATATTGTCAATCAGAAACTCAAGTGTCTTTTTTATGTCATCTTCAGAGTATTTGTGTGAACAATCAGAATGTGTTTTAACAAAATAATTTTGCAAATGACCAATGACCAGGTAAGTAAATTTACGAATTTTTATTGAAAAAGCAGCTGTCAATAATACCAAAAAACCTGGACTTTAATTTACCGTGGAGAATGGTTGTGTATAAAGTCGTAGTTTTTAAGCTGTTGATTTTGGTCTAATCTTTTGATTTCATATTGTCCAAAAGTTCTTTGGAATTTTTGAGTATCCACATCTGATTCACACCATTTCTTGAATATATATATTGTTGTACACTACTCTTGAAGTTTTTCTTCACTACTGTCAATATCTTAGTGAGGAGTAAAGAAAGAGGCTTGGTTGAACATTTACTGGAACCCGCTATGTATCTTTGTTTGACATATTATAAGTCATAATATTATACGGAAAATTTATGAAACAGTTTACTTCCAATCTGGTCTAAGCCCCTTTAAGAAAGTCCTAAATAAAGCAACCATCTACATGTATGGGTTTTTTTTCAGATCCACACGAGCCAACAGACTGAATGATATAACAGAAACCATGGTTTATATACACTTAATGAGGATCGCGTGATTATGGTTGATTAAAAGAGACGTCTATAATAAAGCTAACAATCATAGCAAACAATCAATTAAACTTTTTTTAAATTATTGAAAATCACCTTCCAGAAAGTCTATAACAAAACGTCGAACTTCAGTTCTTCCAGTGTCAACTTTTATGTAGTCGTATTCCCTTATTACATGCCTGTGGTGTTTGTGTAACCAATTTATTCGATGCTCTGGACATGCTGTGAATACGATTTATTTTTAAACCCAGTCGGGCAACTGACAAATAATTGGTTGATGCAGGGATATTTCAGCTGCCTCGTTTAAAACCAGCATTTCGGAAATTCTATGATCGTTATAATAACCTAATTAACAATGTATGAGTATCAGTAGGCTGTTATTTCAAACAATATTTGTAAGGCCTTAACTTGATTACGGATTTTTCCGTCTGTCTGATCAATACATAAGGCTCAGAATGAGTATAACCAGTCAGAAGGGAATGCTTGCTCTTCTTAGGCACCTGAATCCCATTTCTGGAATTTCTATGTTCTGTGCATTTTGACCGATTCTTTTTTTAGATCGAACACTGTTTATTATCTTCACCCTATAAAATTAAAAATCTATAGAATACCTGTCTCAAAGATATATATTAGTAGAAACGACTTTTGTTTCCAAATATCACATAAAATTAATACAGGTCTGTGTGTTTGATGGTTAGAGCATCATCCTTATCCTCATGAGTGCAAACTCTATTATGTGTTTATACCATTTCTAATCAATTTTTTTCATTATCTTTTTATTTATTTCCCAGAATGGAATGATGTTATATGAATGTTATTGATTGAACAAGGTTTTGTAATTACTTAATGCCTTCTTCGCGTTGATGAAAAATAACATACATGAAACAGAATTCATCAGCATACTAAAATGATCTACATCGAGATCCTTCTTACTTGGAATATTATTCATTTGTTGGCAATCACTGGATGCCTAGGGAGTGATAATATTACTGCAGAGAAAGTGACGTCATTGAGAAGGACCTTATTGCGGGACTATGACCCTTACTTACGACCGCGCAGACTACAGCTTGACACTGTCGTCATTAATGCCAGTTTTGTTGTAAAGCGCTTCCACGATCTCAGTGAAAAAGAAGAAAAGGTTTCCTTGCTTGGATACTTTCAGTTTCAGTGGAATGATGAATTTCTTGTCTGGAATAAAGAAGACCACTCGAATATCAGCGACATTGTCGTAAAAACAAATGATATATGGTGGCCAACAATAAGTCTGGGTAACCCTATCGGAAATTATGAGAACTTACAAAATCACTTCGGCATCTTTCATGTGTCATCCTCTGGAGAGATAAAGTGGTCTTCAGGTGGTCTTTTTTCTGTAGCATGTGACTTGAACTTAGAAAATTATCCTTTCGACACCCACACGTGTGATTTTGTTTTCGTGGTACTTGGATACTCTTCAGATGACGTCATCATCAACGTAAATCCGAATGTCCAACAAGTGAAAGGGACAACGGAATGGGATGTTGTTAGCGCAAATATGTTTGGAACCTCGGGAGAAAAAACTGGACTGACTGTTAGCTTTACTCTTCGGAGAAAGTCTTTCTTCGTGGTTTTGACGGTATTGTTGCCCTTATCTTTGCTCTCTCTGTTAAATCTGTGTGTCTTTTTGATTCCGGTTGAGTCTGGAGAGAAAACTTCATTTGCTATAACAACATTCTTAGCGTACTCGATTTACCTCTCAGCCCTGGGGTCCTCTCTGTCAGCTAAAGACAACATATATCTGACCATGTACATAGAGATTCTGATTATCACCGGTGTGATAATCGTGCTGATAGTAATTGTGCAGACACGGCTCTTCTTTTACTACGGTGACCAACGTCTGCCATGTTGTCGCATAAAAACTGTGCATGGTGAAGATATTGACGTCAAAAACAACATCACAAGGAAGACATCTCCAGATAATGTAAATGAGTTTAGAACGTGGGCCAGTAGCATGGGGATATTAGACCAAGTGCTCTTCTTTCTTTTCTTCTGCATTCTTGGTTCAATAACTGTCTATTACTTTGCAATGATGATGTTTTAACTTCTTGGATTTTAACAAAGTAATTTTAAATAAAATTATAGAAAATGGTTGTTCATTCGATTTTAGCAAGATCTATCTTATTGGATTGATAACAATTTTTATTCTTCTGATCTGTAATGATTTTCAGTGAAGATCTTGAATCATCTGGGTAACGCTGCCGGGGCAGTGATCTTGGTAGCGAGTCGTACTGCTCTTCTTTGGGTTTTTTTTCAACCTGGTGGATTTGCTTGGAGTTCCAGAATTTCAATGCTTCACAGCCATATTCATGGATTAGTTTAACTAGAACCTGGTATGTTTCAGATCTTTCAGATGCCCAGCATCCCCCAAGTTCCAATTCGCTTTGGATGTAATTTAATAATGTGGTTGTCCGATCGTAAATCTTTACTGATGATGACTCGAATGAGTTTGTGGGAAACAACCGTCTAGAAGGTGCCTGTGTATAGTGTTGTTAGTAGTAAAGGAATTTCCCTTGTCGGTAATTTATATACTGAACCGCAAAAGAAACGTCGCATTAGATTTTGAAAATGTAATGCACTTATTTTGATAAAAAAATATAACGAATATGTAATTTATGTTATGTGTTTTTAACATCTAACATTTTTCTTAGAGTTATTCACATTCAATTTAATGTCAAATAATGTCTATATCAAAGATTCCAATTGTCCTGAGTGCACTTCCGTTAGTAACGTGTATGGCCACCATTGGCATTAATTACAGCCATGCATCTTAAATACATAGAGTTGATGAGACGATTGATGAAGGTCATAGGAATCGTTGCCCACACACGCTGATACGCCATAGAAAGTTCAGCAGCAGTTGTCGGTCTTGGTTGTTGTTGGTTTAGCTTCAACTGGATGTGATCCCATAAATGTTCAATGGGGTTTAGATCGGGACTAAGAGCTGGCCAGTCAATAACTGCGATGTTGTTCTGCTGCAGGTAGTCCCTAGTTATTCTGGCTGTATGCGCATGCGCGTTATCTTGCTGGAACGTCTTGTGTGGATGTTGGTTGAAATGCTTTACAACATGAGGCCTCAGGACTTGATCAATGTAGCTGGCAGCATTTACACCATTTCCTCTGCCTGGACCAAGATTCTGGAAGACAACGGGGCCAAGTTTCGAAAACAGGCCAATACCACCCCACACCATGATGCTCGGCCCGCCCCATGGATCAGTTTCCATAACACAGTTGTCATTGTTACGCTCACCCTTCCTTCGCCAAACTCTTGCTCGACCATCGTGTGTGGAAATGCAATATCGGCTTTCATCGGAGAAGATGACATTCCTCCATTGTCGATTACGCCAGTTTTGCCGCTGTAAAGCCCACTGTAGACGTGCCCGACGGTGTCTTTGTGTAAGGACAGGGCCTCTGTATGGACGGCGACATCTGAGGTTATTTGCTCTAACCGACGACGTACTGTGTCGTCACTTATGGGTCGCTGATATGTTCCAATGGTATTGCATGCTGTTTCTGATGCCCTTGTGAATCTGTCATTCAAATGCTGGCGCACTATGAACCTGTTCTGTCTTTGCGTTGTAACTCGTGGTCTACCGCTACGTGGGCGATCGTCTGTGCTGTGAGTTGCATTAAAACGTTGGCGTAAACGTTCAATTGTGCGTATACTGCAGTTGAAGTCGTTTGCTATCACCCTGGAAGCTTGCCCAGCATGCAATCTTCCTATGGCTTGGTCCCTCTGTTGTCGATTTAAACGTGGCATAGCTCTGCTTTCAAAACTTATACTGATAATCATTTAAATGTTCGCGGTATTTATACCCCTAATGAAGCGTGAAAAGCATGAGCATTAACATTTTTCAATTAAATGCTGGAAAGTGTGTTCCACGGGAAGCGAGAGATTTAATGACAATTGAACGTGTTGCTAAAATCAGTGAAGCGTAACTTACCTTTAAATGATTGTAGAGTTCACGTTTCGTGTTCATGCATATTTAGCACAGATTATAATATTTACATACAATATTTCATGTTATCAAATATTTCTTTAAAAAATGCGACGTTTCTTTTGCGGTTCAGTATATATACTACACAATTTTCTGGTTGGAATGTCATCTGCAAGTTCTCTTCCCATATAGACAAAGAGTCCAGATCCTTTGTAAGAAAACTACTTCAGCCTTTTTAGCTCACCTGAGCCAAAGGCTCAAGTGAGCTTTTCTGATCACAATGTGTCTGTTGTCTGTCGTCGTCGTCGTCGTTGTTGTCGTCGTTGTCGTTGTCGTTGTAAACTTTTCACATTTTCATCTTCTTCTCAAGAACCACTGGGCCAATTTCAACCAAACTTGCTACAAAGTATCCTGGGTAAAGGGGATTCAAGTTTGTTCAAATAAAGGGCCACGCCCTTTTCCAAGGGGAGATAATCATGAATTAGAGAAAAAATAATGGCATCTTTAAAAAATCTTCTTCTCAAGAACCACTGGGCCAGGAAAGATGAAACTCATGTGGAATCAGCCTCAGGTAGTGTAGATTTAAGTTTGTTCAAATCATGACCCCCGGGGTTAGGGTGGGGCCAAAATGGCCGATCAAATTTTTATATAGGAATATATAGGAAAATTAAATCTTTAAAAATCTTCTTCTCAAGAACCACAAGGGTATGAAAGATGAAACTCATGTGGAATCAGCCTCAGGTAGTGTAGATTCAAGTTTGTTCAAATCATGACCCCCGGGGTTAGGGTGGGGCCAAAATGGCCGATCAAATTTTTACATAGGAATATATAGGAAAAATCTTTAAAAATCTTCTTCTCAAGAACCACTGGGATAGGAAAGATGAAACCCATGTGGAATCATCCTCAGGTAGTGTAGATTCAAGTTTATTCAAATCATGACCCCAGGGGGTAGGGTGGGGCCAAAATGGCCGATCAAAATTTATATAGGAATATATCGGAAAAATCTTTAAAAATCTTCTTCTCAAGAACCACTGGGCCAGGAAAGATGAAACTCATGTGGAATCATCCTCAGGTAGTACAGATTCAAGTTTGTTCAAATCATGACCCCCGGGGATAGGATGGGGCCAAAATGGCCGATTAAAGTTTTACATAGGAAAATATCGGAAAAATTTTCTTCTCATGAACCATCGAGACAGGAAAGAGGAAACTCCTGTGGAATCATCCCCAGGTAGTGTAGATTCAAATTTGTTCAAATCATGACCCCCTGGGGGTAGGGTGGCGCCAACTGGCCGATAAAAGTTTTACATAGGAATATACATGTATAGGGAAACCTTTTAAAATCTTCTTTTCAAGTACTTCAAAGCCATGCTTAGTGATATTTATAGGAAATCATCCTCAGGTAGTGTAGATTCTAGTTTGTTCAAATCATGACCCCCTGGGGGGTTAAAATTCAAGCCCCCCCCCCCTCAGTAAACTTTCAGTTCTGATCTGATATGTGCTTTTTCCTAGCCAATTGCTCAGGTGAGCGATGTGACCCCTGGGCCTTTTGTTTGTAATGGGACTGCATAGGAAACAGTCGACTGCAAAAGGGCAAGCATCAGACAGTGTCATTTCAGGTAGGTCGTTGGTGTAGAGATGGAACAGAAAAGGTCCTAAGACTGTCCCTTGTGGCACTGCTGACCTAACAGTTGTTGAAGTGTGGTCCTCCAGAAGCACTTGCAGTGCCCTATCTGTTGGAAAATCGGTAATCCATTGGAGAAAAAGTCAGTACTCCATATTTATATAGCTTATGGGCTAGCCACTGTTTAAGGACTTAATCAATAACTTTTGAAAAGTCAGGCAATTAATATCTAGTTGACGTTTCTCTCCTAGACTCTGACCCTGTACGTTGATGATGAACATCAACTGACTTTTAAAGAACGAATGCTTTGAAGTTTGAACAGAATTTATGTTGACTGCATGAGAGGATGGAATTTTCATGTAGATATTCCATGACTTGGGTATGTATAATATGTTTCAGAAGTTTACATGGGATACAGGTCAATTATTCGAAGCTAAGTGCCCCCCTTCTTGAAAATTGCAACAATACTTGCCTAACGCCAGCCATTTAGAATCTTTCCTGTGTCAAAAGAAGATTGGAAAATGGATGTTATGATTGGTAGTCTGCGTGGTCATGTGGCAGCTTAGCTATATTTCGTCAGGACCAGTAGCTTTGTTGACCTTGGTGGCTTTAAGGAGAGCATAGACTCCGTTTTGTGACACTGACAAGATGCATGTCCGGGTAGGAGTTATAGGTCCCTAGTCTGGATATTCTCATTGGAATACACAGAGTGTAATTGGTTGAAGATCTCTTCCTTGCCAATGTGTATCAGACCATCAGCCTTTTAAGAGGTGCAGCATATTGTGAATCTTGTCTTTTCACCTTGAGGTAAGACCAGAATACTGTTGATTTCGCTGCATAAAAATCACTTCAATATACTAGTAGCTGTCGTGGGGTCTTCTAATTTCACTCTGAGCTATTGCCTTCAAGTGCAGCTCCCGCTTCTGGGTTTGGGTTTGGGATGGATCTGGACTTACGGAAAGCCTCGGATCAGACGCTTGACCTAGGAGTTGATCCATGGTGAAAGTGCCTACTCCAAAGCAGTTGGGTCGATGCTTCTAAAACATACCCGGTATCTAGACCTATGACATGGTTCTTAAAATGGATCCATAATACTTTGATGTCATCATGAAACATATGGAGTTAACAAACAGTATTCAAGATTAAAAGTCCATAAAACAATACAAAATAGGAGCAGAGCAAACACGGACCTCCAAAACATCGGAGGTGGGATCAGGTGCCATGGAGGAGTGAGCATCCCCTGCTGACCGGTCACACTTGCTGTGTGCTCCTTGTCATGGAAATAACGGAAAAATCCGTCGTCAATTCAATGTATAAATAATGGACTAACAATTAGTATGAAAAACATCAGTCAGCATTTGACTCAATAGTAAATTGTATTTGCTGACGAGGTAATTTTTTCGACCATAGAACTTACGAAATGATGACTTTAAACAAGACTGCTGATATTCTTGTTTCATCAACTTGTTTGTCAATAATTTACCTCGTTTTAGAAATTGTTCATATGTAGAGCACGCTCTTGCATATCGAATCAACTGAGATATATAAAGTCCGTATGCAGGTAATGAAGGTATATTTCTGCAAAAGTAAGGGAAGTTTACGATAGAAAAGTCAAAGTCATCATGTTTATCAAAGAGCTTGGTTGATGGATTACCATTAATGTATTTTTCAAGTAAAATATCAAAATACGAAACAGATGTGTCAGACTATGTGGTATCTTTTATCTCAAGCTCACAAGGATATGTTGTTATCTACATAAGAATGGAAATTATCATTATTGATGGACAATACGTCGTCAATATATCTAAATGTCGAGTTGAAAGCCAAAGCAAGTGTTTTCTTCTTTTCATGTATGAATTCAAAAATATGTTTGCTAATAATGGGGCGCAATTGGTACCCATGGGAGTTCCAATAGATTGTTGGAGGACCTTGTGTGAAACTCAAGCATCTTTTTGATGTCAACTTCAGAGTACTTGTGTGTACAATAAGAATGTGTTTAACAAAATTTTGCAAATGACCAATGACTAGGCAAGTAAATTTACAAGTTCCATTTTTATTGAGAAAGCAGCTCAATGAAATCAAAAAGCCTGGACTTTAATTTATTGTGGGGAATGGTTGTGTATGAAGTTGAAAGTTGCCAAGTTCTTTAAGCTTTCCTGGATTGCTTGTGTGTCTGCTCTATTCCATAAGAAAATATTCCTCTGAGTGTGACCAGTTAGCAGGGGATGATCTCTCCTCCATGGTACCTGATCCCACCTCTTACAAATCTATATTTGCACTGCTCCTGATTTGTATTGTTTGAATTGATGTTAAGCTTCAATTCTTTTATCTCCAAATTTCAACAGTTGTGATTACATCTGGTCCAAAAAGTCTAGCCTGACCATGTTATAGTGAGCATCTCTGCATGTAGATTATCTCTGCCAATCTGGTCCTTGTATGTTATGTATTTACATGGGAAAGGAACTAGTTCAAAAACTAGAACCTGATAATACAGGCCATGTGCTGCATCTCAAGCATGAATGGTAGACCATAGTAAATATTGATAAGTGTAGGTAGAAAAGCCAAATGATTTTTGAAATCTTAACTAAAATGCAATTGGAAACAGATGAACAAATCCATGATACATCATCTTCCCAAGTCAAGAGTTTCTGATCCGCTCCGCTCCACATATATGTGGAGCGGAGCGGATCAGAAACGCTTGACTTGGGAAGATGATGATTCATAAAATCATGGAAATTTTAAATCCTCATGACTTGTCTCCTAGTCTATTCAACTGTTTTCTGTTGATGGTTGCAAAGTTAAGGATGACAGACAAAACAGATATACATTTGTTGACAAAAATGACAGTAAAATGAAATTTGAATAAATTTTATTCAAATATTAAATATACAATAATACATGTATATAAGAACTACACAACCATTTAAAATATTCTATGAAAATAAACAAATCTATTTCTAGATGTAGTCCATTGAATATATAACAAGTGTATAATTGAATAAATGAATCAAAAGATATTTGCCTTAAATGCAAGATTTATGCATGATACAAGGTGCATGTATTGTTTAAATAAAAATATTATCTTATGTAAAAGAATACCTGTCAATTAATAACTTAATTCATATCAGTAAATAAATTGTTCTTTAGGTCTGATGATTTGAAGTGTGAAAAAGTGGCATTTAATATTCCAGGTATTATTTAACAATTTGTACATTTTTTTTTCCTGCAAAGTATTTTAGACTTGGGCAAATGACAAGAATGATCTAATTGATGATGAATCCTATAATTTCTCTGTTGATTAGATGATCTTATCTCAGAACATAGTCTGTTGATTTGATGATTTAGTCACATGACATGTTCTGCACTTTGTTGATTGGATGATTTAGTCACATGATATAATCTGGTGACTTGATTGGATGATTTAGTAACATGACATAATCTGCTACCTCTCTGCTTGCTGATTGGATGCCAGAAACTTACACTTGTCATATGTTCTGTCATAACCTTCAATGAAAATGTTTGAGATTTGTGACATTGTTGAAATAAAAATGTATATGCTTGTTGAAAAAATAAAACTGAATCTAGAGTGGAAAAAATGACATAAAATTAAAATATTTTTGTATTGTCAAAAATAATCTTATAACATGCTCTACTTATGTAATACCTACCATATGGAAAGAATCTGACCATCATCTGTATCGTGGTGTTCATTTTCAGAACTCTGACAGCCTAAAAATAATGAAGCAATGACTGAAAAATACTGTAGAAGTACTTATTCCCATTTGTGCTTAAATTTGTATTTAAATACTGTCATAATTTTTCTTTTTCTTTTCTTTTTTTGAAATTCATCACAGCACGTTTCATACATTGCCAATCCAAGAAACTTCTGTAATTTTCTACCCATAGATTGAACAAGGGAATTAAGACACTAAGATTAATATCAAATGATCCCCTTGTCTAGTCTACAATTTGTTATGGGTTTATTTTGATATCTTTCAAAAAAAATATAGATAAAAACACATCTTCTTCCCTATTTCAAAAAATATAATAAATATAAGAAACATATCTTCCTGATTAAAAAAGAAAAGGAAATTTAATGCCCTTAAATTTAATAGTTTTTTCTTACCTCTGCATGGTCTATGTTTGTGAAGTCTCTTTGATTAACTGTTAAAATCTGCAAATGAACATGTGATTTTTGTATATGTCTAAAACTGAATATAATTTTGCCTTCTACTGCGCTTGCTTATAGGACACATTTTTATTTATGAAAATGTTTTATTTATACTTAAAACAGCAGAATAACTTTTGTGTGTAACTATGTATGGTAGTGATCTGAATGCTTTGTGTAACCTTTTTTTTCCCCCTTTTTTTTCTCTTACCTGGTCCCCTTCCCTCAGTCCAAGTTTGTCTGCCTCACTGTTGGGCATCACCTGAAATTTCAGTGGTGATTTGTTAACAGCTTGCTGTGTCACACATACTTTTATTTATAAACATGTACCAGAGACAGGTTTGTGTCACTGATTTGAATTGGATTTGAACATGGAGCCTCTTACATTGAGCTATAGGCTTAACCCACTAGCCTAATCTAGTAGGATGCAATGTGCCTTATACTATCACAATGTCCCCTTCCGGAGATGTCCTCATCTCATTTGTAGAGACTTTGTCTGTTTGGCAAAGTTCTGGGTGACAATCACTTTCACTCACCAGAGAACATGCAGTTCTAAATGTGAGCATGTATATGGCTCTGCTTGGAACTGAACCTGGGACATCTGGCATGCCAGTGTTACCAACTGAGCTAAAGGGATAAACCACTAGACCAAGCTAGTAGGATGCAATTTTGATTACTCTACCACAAACAAATTTGGCAGTCAGTCAGATTTGATCGCCAGTGGCTGGATAGTTCAGTTGTTTCAGGGGGCCCGGGTTGGAATCTCAGTCTGGTCCACTGCATTTTCTCCTCTTCCGTTACACAGACATAGCAAGCACTATATTGATTACATATATAACAAATATTACTATTGTGTAATAAATACGTGTAAATTTTATTAAAGTTGGAAATGAATCTGACCTTTGACACAAAAATTCCACAGTGATGTTCCTGGCCACCTCGAATGTTGAATCCCAGCTGTGAAAAAAGGAGTGTACATTATTGTTTCTACTGTAAATCAACGTTATCTTGGACATTTATAAAACAATTTTCTTTTCCGATTGTCAAAAAAAGTTGTCCTTACTCCTTAACCAGTAATTTCTTTTATTTAAATTTGCTAAAATCTTATACAGTTTCTAAATGGCTATGATCCACAGGCACCTGACGTTACTTATTTTTCTTTAAATAAAAAAAAATATACACATACCTAATAATAAATGTTTATTATTAGGTATGTGTATATTTTTTTTTTATTAAAAGAAAAATAAGTAACGTTGGGTGCCTGTGCTATGATCCATTGCCTACTTTCAAATTTAGATTTTTTTTAAGACAAAGACCCAAACTGGGGTTTATGAATTCAAATGATCATAGATAACCAACAAAATAACATACAAGCCTGAATGATTATCATTTAATATACACATGTATATAAAAATTATTACTTGTTCTGAAGCTCTCATCCTCTGTAGAATTAACTCCCTTGGAAGGAACTCCCTAATGTCATTGTTGTAGTCAGGATGGTGAACTCTCTATAAATGAAAAATAATGAAATATTTCATGTCACTTAAGTCTGAATGCAAATTTTAATATCCTGGAATTACACAGAAAGTTCAGAGAAAAAAAGTTAAGTATAAGTGCAGTGTAAGCTTGGTTCCCTGGCTCATCCTATACAATGCAGGTGAACAAGTTTAAACTTCATCCAATGCTGCCGTATGTTTGGTCAGTTCAATTTGTGCAGATAACATAAAATTTCTGTGAATCAAAAATATATCTATGATATCTCATCAGACCTAAAGCTTTGATCAAAGTGTAATCCCATTTGGTTCTTCATTTAGTAAATTTCTGAGTTGTTTCTATCAGGCATATCGTAGAGAACCTGAAACAAAGCAGGTCCAGCACAATTTCCTGATTCATATATAAAGCTTGAATTAGCTAAATACAGGTAACTCTTGATGGCTCGAACTTTGATCTCTCGAAGTTCTTGATCGTTCGAAGTGAGTCTCCTGTCCCGATTTTTTCCCCTATATAACTAAGCAAATTTACTCTTGATTTCTCGAACTCTTGATCTCTCGAAACCCTTGATCCCTCATAGTCAAAATGCAGTCCCACTATGCATATTCTATTGAAATTTACCCTCGATACCTCGAAGTGGCTATGTATATACAAGTTACATAATTAGCAACTTTACCTGGACATTTAATGGCCCCTGGCAGAAGACGCGGATCTCGTGAAATGGGAGGTTTATTCAGGTGACACTTATACTGCAAGGTGGTAATTGATTTATAATTAATCTTATGTTGCCTATATGCTATTAAAATAATTATCATCGACTGTATCAGGATAATTTAAAAACGCAGTGTCACTGAGAAATTGTAATTGCAGATTACAAGACGAAACCCTTAGTAAATTTAGTTTTTATTTCGAGTCAGTGTCAAAATTTAACAAAATATGAAAATCCAGAAACAGCCTCAGTGTCAATATGACGACAATTGTTAGACAAATACTTACTGTAATACAGAACTTTGTTCAATGCACGTGTTTGGAAAAAATCAAAATGCTATATGTACCACGCGGCACTGTAAAATGCGTAGTATGATGTTCGTATTATAAAGAATAAAAAAAATAAACATAAAATGACGATGTACAATTTTAGCTTTACTCAGATTAATAAATATTCATCTAAAATACGAAATCATATCGCTGTTTTATAAAAACCACGTGTGAAAAGTTAGCACTGCATGAAAATCATTATATCCCGTAAGACTAATTTTAAAACCTGCCAAACAAACCCGGAAAATTCTGGGCTCTTGAAAACTCGAACTCTTGATCTCTCAAAGTTTTTCCTCAGTCCTGCAGACTTCTAGGTATCGAGAGTTACCTGTAGCTTTATTAAGCTATTCAGAATAGCTTGATAAAGCTATTTATATGCGAAAAAGGGAAAAGATGTGGGAAAAATAGCTATGTCTAGCTATTCTGAATAGCTTAATGCTTAATGAAGCTATATTGCTATTTCAAGCTATACATTGTATTGCTAAATCAAAAGATTGTGTCAGATTTGTAAAGTGCCTTCTGAGGAGAGAAAAAGGGGTTTCCATGGGTTCTACCATCCAGGATATCAAGTGATGTCAGGTGCCTGGATTTACCAGGTCCAGTACAATCACTAGATTTAGCTACATAGCTAGAATTACAAACCGTAGCTTAATTTACCTACCTTAGGAAGCTTTATTTGGCTATTTCAATCCAAATTTTCACACATTTGCTTTTCATTTAATAAAGACAAAAAGAGTTCTTATAGTCTGTTTTTACCCTATGTGATTCTGAACCAAGTCTACTGTGGCTATTGAACAGCACATAGGGTAAAAACAGACTATAGGAACTCTTTTATTCAAGGAGGTAAACAATTTCGTCACAGGAGCCATATTTCGAACAGAGATTTCAGTGAATATTTCTATTTTGGGATTTACATGCCTAAACAGTAAGCTATGTAGAAATAATAGTGACAGAGAGTCAAATAAACAACTAAATGACTTAACTGAAGCGAACAGCAGTGTGGTCTAGGTGAATAATTCTTGATAAAGTCGACAAAAGTTGGGACTTAATCTCCAGATATGAATTATGAGCGACTGTCCAGGGATTCTGCGATGGCTCTGCAGTCCAAATATCTAGCCCAGCAGAATCTCAACAGGGATTATGGACAAGTATGATCACTTAACAATATGTTGAATAATTACCAATCCATTATCATGTTAACAAGAACTGGCCTTCTTTGTTATTGCATTCAAGAAATAACTGTTTGGTCACAAATTAACAGTGGTAACTTTCAGAACTTTGACTGTAATTGTGCAGAAATATGCACATCTTAAAGAGTATTTTTTTCATGAATTGTTTTCAGATGAGTTTAATGTTGAAAATTTATCACTGCATCAGATGTGCAACTTTGTCCACATCATGAGAAAAATGTGAATTTAAGAAAAAAAAATTGATTTGCTAAACAAAGCTACCTCAGGTAGGTAAATACAGCTA